TATATATATATATATATATATAACACATTTTTATTATTTATTAAAAATACAAAATTAAACACATTATTTATTTAATTATAGTAAAACAATTAGACAATTAATATTAATAATAGTAACATTACTAATATCGACAAATAATAGCGATTTGGCATTTAGGCAAAAATAATAATAATAATAATAATAATAAGGACAAATTAATAATAGCAAATATCAATATTTATTTCCAAATAATCCATGATAAAATGGGGTATTACAGTCTATCCACCTTACAAAGAATTTCGTCCTCGGAATTCGAAAATAAAACTCTAGAAAGCGAAGTAAAATACAAGGGAACTCAAAACTCAAAGTTCGGGTATCGCCTCCGAAGCTCGACCTCCTTTTCCCAAGTCGCCTCCGACTCGACATGTCGGCTCCAAAGAACCTTCACCAAGCTCACTGCCCGGTTCCTCAACTGATGGACCTTCTGGTCCAAAATAGCTACCGGTACCTCCTCGTAGGTAAGGTCTCGCTCAACCTGCAGTTCGCCGAAGTCCACCACGTGAGTGGGATCATGCACGTATCTCCGCAACATGGAGACGTGAAACACGTCATGCACCCCCGACAAGCTAGGTGGTAAAGCCAGCCGATAAGCCAAGTTCCCGACTCGGGCAAGGATCTCGAATGGCCCAATATAACGGGTCTAAGTTTCCCTTTCTTCCCAAAGCGAATCACGCCCTTCATAGGCGAAACCTTCAGGAATACATGATCGCCAACGGCATACTCGTGCTCACCCCTCTTCCGATCGGCATAGACCTTCTGCCTCTCTTGGGCTGACCGTATATGCTTCCGGATAGCCTCAACTGTCTCTGCGGCCCTAAGAATAAACTCCGGGCCCATAATCTTCCTCTCCCCGACCTCATCCCAGTACAAGGGTGTTCTGACCTTACGTCCATACAAAGCCTCGAATGGGGCCATCTTGATCGAGGAGTGGTAACTATTGTTGTAAGTCAGCTCGACCAAAGGCAAGACACTCTCCCAAGTCAGGCTACGGTCCAAGACCACAGCCCTCAATATGTCCTCCAAGTACTGGATCGTCCGCTCCGACTGACCATCCGTGCGAGGATGAAAAGCTGTACTGAACTCCAGCCTCGTCCCCATGGCTCGGTGCAGGGTCCTCCAGAACTGACTAGTGAACTTCGCGTCTCGATCGGACACGATCTCAACAGGGACCCCATGAAGTTTGACAATATCGTCCACGAACAACTCGTCATACTGACTAGCCGTCATAGTCATCCGGCCTGGCAGAACGTGAGCAGACTTGGTAAGGCGATCCACAATCACCCAAATGGAATCATGTCCGGCCCTCGACCTCGGCAATCCCACCAAGAAATCCATGGTGATGCACTCCCACTTCCACAAGGGGACCTCAAGTGGCTGCAACTTCCCTCTCAGTTTCTGATGCTCAGCCTTCACTCGTTGACACACCAGGCACCCATTTACGAACCTCGCCACTTGATTCTTCATGCCTCGCCACCAAAACGACTTCCTCAAGTCCTGATACATCTTCGAGCTACCAGGATGGATGGTGTACGGGGCACTATGAGCCTCTCTCAAGATCTCCTTTCGCAGCTCCCACACCTTCGGAACACATAGTCTACCCTCGAAGACTAATGCTCCATAAGATGCAACTGCGAATCCTCCGACTCTACCGGCTTCCGACAACTCCATCATCCAGCGAAGGAAGCGATCATTCGGTTGCTGGGCGACTATCCTCTCACGAAGGGTTGGTCCTACTACCAAAGTAGTCAACACACCCCTGGTTGTCGAAAGTGGTTCCACTACCTCAAGCTGTAGCCGCTCGAACTCCCGAAGAAGGACATCCTTCTCAGTAAGAAGACAAGACAACTGGCCATAACTCCTTTGACTAAGGGCATCGGCTACCACGTTAGCTTTCCCAGGATGGTAGCTAATCGTGCAATCGTAGTCCTTGACCAGTTCCAACCACCTACGCTGCCGCATATTCAGCTCCCTCTGAGTGAAAATGTACTTTAGGCTCTTGTGGTCGGTGAAAATTTCACACTTTCCTCCATAGAGGTAGTGCCGCCAAATCTTCAAGGCATAAACGACTGCAGCTAACTCTAGATCATGGGTGGGGTAGTTCTGCTCGTGAGGCTTCAGCTGCCTCGAAGCATACGCTACGACCCTCCCCTCCTGCATAAGGACACATCTCAAACCCATCTTCGAAACATCACTATAGATGGTGAACCCCAAAGTGGGGTCGGGAATGGATAGAACGGGCGCGGTAGTGAGTCTCCTCTTCAACTCCTGGAAACTCTCCTCACACCTAGGACTCCAATCGAACCTCACGGCCTTCTTCGTAAGGTTGTTTAGTGGCTGGGCTATCTTCGAGAAACCCTCGATAAACCTTTGGTAGTATCCTGCTAACCCCAGGAAACTACGTACATCAGCGGCACTTCTTGGCGTATCTCACTTGCTCACGGCCTCGATCTTGCTGGGATCCACCTCAATGCCTCTCGATGTCACAATGTGGCCAAGGAATGCCACACGATCCAGCCAAAACTCGCACTTCGAGAACTTAGCATACAACTTCTCGCGGCGAAGAGTCTCCAGCACAATCCTCAGATGCTTCTTGTGCTGGTCGATGTCTCGGGAATAAACCAGGATGTCGTCGATAAACACAATGATAAACTGGTCTAAGAAAGGATGAAAGACCCTATTCATAAGGTCCTAAACACGGCCGGGGCATTGCTAAGTCCAAATTGCATAACCACGAACTCATAATGGCCATATCGGGTACGGAAGGCAGTCTTAGAAATATCAGACTCACGAGTCTTCAGCTGATGATAGCCAGAACGCAAGTCAATCTTCGAAAAGACGCTGGCTCCCCTCAGCTGGTCAAAAAGGTCCTCGATTTCACCCCATAGAAAATAACAGGCTGATCAGAAACAGGGAAGAGACTGACTTCGCGCTCCTGGCACCGGATATCGGCTCGATAACGTGTGAGCCAGTCCATGCCCAAGATCACATCGAAGTCTCGCATTTCAATAACATAGCAATCGGCCTCCAAAACACGCCCACCAATACTGACTGGAAGACGAGAAATCATAGAATCTGAAATAATAATCTTTCCCGAGGCTAGACTAACCTCGAGAGGGTCACAGTTGCACACATTAACAATACAAAGGGTATCCAAGCATCGAGAGGAGATAAAGGAATGAGTGGCCCCAGTGTCGCATAATGCAAAGATAGGCACATCGAATAAGGAAATCATGCTGGACATAGTACCTGCATTGTTGGCTGCCTCATCATGAGCAATGGTATAGACTCGAGCCTGGCCTCCTGCACGCTGCTGGTGTGGGGGTGGGGGCTGTCTGGGCTATTGTTGTGGGTAAGGTGGAGGAGGAAGCTGCTGCTGCTGCTGGGCCTGCTGTCTAGGGGGTTCGGGGCAAGCACTGAAGAAATGGCCGGGCTTCATGCAGTTGAAGCAAACCCTCTGGGCGAAACGGCAATCTCCAGGATGATAACGGCCACACTTAGGGCATTTCGGATTCTGACTCTGGGCAGTGGGGTGCTCACCGCGACGATCATTCCCGCCATGCTTTCCCTTCCGGTTATCCCGACGGGAATCAAACTTTCTCTTACCCGAACTAGAGCCGGGCGGTGCAGAAGCAATAGGCTGGACTAGCTGAGCAGAAGGGACAGAAGTATCGAGAGTCTGATAACTCTCCAGCTGGGTGGCTCGGATAACAGTCTCATCAAAGGAAATATTTCCCTGGCTAGCAACATGCATACGAAGAGTTTGACTCAGCCCATCTCGGAACTTGTGAGCCTTCTTCAGGTCAGTGTCCACCATATGTGGAGCAAAGGTGCTCATGCGGGTGAACTCCCGCTCGTACTCCTCAACGGTACCAGTCCCCTGGGTAAGATCCCAAAAAGCGCGCTCCATCCTCGATCGATAACCCTGAGGATAATACTTTTCCATGATCACCTCCTTCATGCAATCCCAAGTCAAGACATTAAACTCCGCCTGTCTCAACCTCCAATAGCCGGACCACCACAAGGCGGCACTTCCCTTAAGCATATAGCGGCCACAAATAACCTTCTGCTCGTCAGAGCACTGCAGGAGGTCAAAGTTCTGCTCTAACTGACGGATCCACTCCGCCACAGCCTCGGGCCCTTCAGTCCCATGAAATTCTAGCGGAGTTAGACTCTGGAATTGGAGCACGATTTTAAGATGAGCCCCTGCTGGATTGGGAGCCTGCTGGTGAGGCGGAGATGGGGATGGAGACGGAGGTGGAGATGGAGTAGGCTGATGGTTGCGAGCATTACGACGAGCAATAATTCTATATTGAAAATGGGTCGTACAGTTAGCACAATAATAAAAGAAGTCTAGAGTTCAACACTAGAGTTCTCATTTAAAGGTGGATTAGTCCTAACCCCGATTTTATTCCAATAATCAATAATCAAACAATATGCAATAATCTCAAAGTTATTCAGGTACTCATTCCTGAGCTGGCGCGGCACGACGAGAGCGAGTGGTCATAACTTAAGGTCAATTCACATAATCAAAAAATTCACATTAACCAGTCTACAGAAACGCAGATTGGCTCTGATACCAAACTGTAACGCCCCACTTTTATTTGCAAAAATTCAGGATAAATTTTCCAAATTTAATTCTAAACAATATCAATATTTGAGGCGCCACTCATTTTCAAACATTTATCAATACTAAACACATCCCCAATACTCAACAATATTCAATACTCATAATCCATATAAGAACCTCAATAATTAATCATCATCCAATAATAATAATCCAAGGGAAATAACCCCTATCAATAATCAATAATTCAGTACTAACGAAAACCAATAATCAATAACAACGGAATAATATCCAAGTTCAGTTCAAAGCGGAAACATTTATTCAAATTAAATACCACCACTCGCATCTCCTCTACCGTGTCGCGTAAACTAACCTGCATCCATGAAGAGCAGGTGGGGATGAGCACAATAGGAAAGTCGAGGTGCTCACCGCTATGCAATAATTAATATCAATAACTATAAAACAATTTAAGTATGGTCGCAGCATGTATACGAATCAATAATCGTCCCATCTCCTATCAATAATCAATAATGGTCTCATGTGCACACCTATAACAATAGACTACTGCCGAGCTATATACCGAACGCCTTCCTGGAAGGCCTTACAACGAGTGCCCGGCCAGCAGGAGCAATAATCCACCCCGAATGCCAAAACTCACGCCTTGGCCTTACATACGAGGATCACCAGCCAAGGCTCACGCCCTGACTGCCAACAATAATAAAGAAGACTACCCGAAGGTACGTTCTATAGCTACGGGGATAACCGCTCGACGGCCAATATAGCTCACGTCGAAGGCTACATGGTTCACATGCATACTTTGATCATACAACAGCAAAAAAAAATTAATTAAGGCATAGCAAATTTTACAATTATAACCCACCTGGAATCGGTTGATAAAGAAATTAGTCAGAAGGTCGTAAGTGGTCGAGACACTGCTCTTCAGACACCTACATAAGTCAAGACAGTCTTATAAGCAACTATCTCGACTCTTGCACAGATAACGAGAATTATGCTTAGTCGAATAACATCAACTAAGGAACTCGTGGAAGTTGTGGAGTTGGAATATTAGGACGACTCCTAGACTCGACCAATTAATTACCAAATCAATTAATAGATCTCATAAAAGCAGGCAATAAATGTTCGACACAAAACGGGTCAAAACGGTTAAAAAAGCTAGTTCGAATTTTATAAGAATAGCGCTAAGGGGGGTTGGACTTGGTTATTTCAATTTAAATTTTTACAGAGTGTTAAGAGCTGAAAAATACATATTTTCACCAAAGGAAAACCATTTAACATGCTCCTAACTATTTTAAATAATTTACTCAAAATATGACCAGAAATCAAATTAAATCATTTAAAATAGCTACTGGTCGAATTTAAATTTCAAAATTTTAAAGCAGCAAAATAATCTGGAGAAAAACAACATATTCAAAAATTAGCAAAATCGGACAGGAACTCTATTTTTATATGAATTTATTACGAAACAGCCCAGAATTAGTATTCGAGTTTTGACAAGGCTACAGGCCATATAAAATTCTCAAATTTTAATCACAAGTACTAAAATTGCAACATTACAACATATCCAAAAATCAGAATTTTTGGATAAACACACGATTTATAGTGATTTTAACAAAAACCGGCTGCAGCACGTTTTTCAAAAATTCATATCTAATTCAATACACATCGAAACGACGCGAGGCCAAAGCCGTTGCGTCAAGGACGATCCTAAGTCCAATAATCCACAGCACTTCCACAAAAAATAATACATTAACCTCAGCTCGACAAGTTTTTAAAGTGACGGCAATCACTTTGATACCCAATTTTAACAATATATCCTAATTACACACGAAAGCATTCCGAACGCACGTAATTAATTCGAATATCATACGATCAGCAACGTAACACACATACGAGTACTAACACATAAACACGAACTAAATAATTAAGTCGAGGGGTTAACTCGGGTACCGTTCTCGGGACAGGGCTACGAAGAACGAACAACGGAATAACAAAGGAACTCGACGTCTCAACGTGTCTCGCCGGGACAAGAGGGCAGCGACCGAAGGGCTCGACGGAAGGCTGCTGGCTGCCGGAGTAGGTCGACAGGATGTACGGCGGCGCACGGTTGCTGCGTCTTGGAAAGAACGCGGGTGAAGGTGGCGACCATGGCAGCTCGGCGTCCGGAACTCGTCGGCTTCGATTAACGCTCCGACGGAACCCGACGGAACTCAACGATCATGATAGTCTCTTTGACGGAACTCGACGGGTCCCGAAAGCCGAAGTTGTACGATGAGGGGGGGACGGCCTGGGAGCTTCGTGAGGAAGACGATCGGCGAAGTCCTGCAAGTGATGGTCGACGATGATCGTTGCACGATGATGATGGCGGGTCGCTGATGATCGCAGGAGGAAGAAGGTGATGATCGATGATGATGATCGTGCTGCTGAGTTCGATGGTGGACGGAGATGGTGTGAAGAAGAAGAAGAAGAACAAGAGAAGGAAGAAGATGGCTGCGGATCGTATGTATATGTATATATATATATACAAATTATTAGGTCAAGATTTCTTTGTTGTCCAAGACATCGGGTATAAACCGGACCGGGTCAAAATTTCGGTTCATCGATCGAAAGCTTGGTTCTAATGCGGGTTTCAAGAAATTGGACCGGTTCTGGGCTCGGATAAAAATCGCACGACTTATTAAAATAAAACCGGACCAAAATATATATATATATAACACATTTTTATTATTTATTAAAAATACAAAATTAAACACATTATTTAT